GCAACTCCACTTTGATAAATTTTTGCTGACCTTTGCTCCTCTACTATTTATTGCTGATCAAACATATACATTTTTTTCTATTTCTGGCAAACTTTATCGTAATCTGGATATGTGTGTTTTAGGGATATTAGCGCGAGCAGGGCAGAGATGTAATGGGCAAGTGTCATCACATACATTTTGAATGGATGAGTTGAAAGTCTTCCAGCCATTGCTGACCATTTGAAGAGCACATGCCCTCTGCTATGCACAGAAATGCCCAGCCATAGCCTGGCATCGTCAGAGATGTATATAATTATGGACTTACAATGTACTTTACAGGAGGTTTTTTTTTATGCCACTAGAAGGACAACAGAAAAAAGGACTGGATTGGGACTGCTCTAGAGGAACCAGGACAATATGATAAGATGAAGAAGAGGTTCGTTTATCACATTGTCCTTCTTTTCAATGGCTCACTATTATTAATACACTTCATCACTAGTCTACATACAAGACATCACGGGTCCAAGCCAGACCATGTCCGTGATGTGGGCTCTTTGCAGTTTGGCCCTGAATGCTCATAAAGATTGTCCCCTTAATTACAGTGTGACCAGATGCGATACCTATGCACTGACCCACAACAATCCTATAACTCCCTCACACGAGCCTTAGAAAGTGGATAAATATTCATGTACACTAGAATTGTGCACAGCAAAAAAAAAAATTATACTGAATCAGTTTGTCCAAAAAAAAAAGTTGTTCAGTTGATCAGAAAGTCGTCCATGTGGCATGACCGGTGTATAGTCGCCATATGGGCAGTCGGACTCCAGGACAACCCTCCCACATACCTAACCCAATAACTCACTGACACAAAGGTATATGGGAAAATTTGTCCACAGCTTTATTTAAACAATCTTGAATAATAATAATTTATTAATTTCCATATTAATAACCATAGCAATAATAATTTAACAATAAACATGGGTCATTGCCCCCATACTCCGCCCTCGTAACCGAATCCTTCTGTTAATATAACAGGCAATGACCCCCATATAAATAACACATATACATATATATATATAACATACGTATCAACATATTCCAACATACCAACTTAAAGTGCCAAACATAAATTAACCATGGCAGGGGTATACCGGGATACCCCTGCCCCACCAGATTCTGAGCCACCGACAGGACTCGGAACCTACCAACCACCAATGACCACAGTTTTATGTCTCCATGACGTTCATCCTAGGGAGCCTATTTCTTCTCCTTCAGCTCCCTATCCCGCCGCTGTGAAAAAACGGGATAACCCAAGTCCGTACCAAATTCAGGGAGGGTGGGCGGGACAAACTCAGCAAGGTAGTAATTAAAAGTGAAGGATTTAAAATGGCTGCCTATTTAAATAGCCAAGCCTACTTACCCATAACTCCATACTTCCTTCCCTCCTCCTATGCCCGCCTCCTAACCCCTGTCAAGGCCTTTTTTCGCTTAGCTGCGCTTTGGCTACATGGGGCTACATGACCGGTGTATAGTCGCCATATGGGCAGTCGGACTCCAGGACAACCCTCCCACATACCTAACCCAATAACTCACTGACACAAAGGTATATGGGAAAATTTGTCCACAGCTTTATTTAAACAATCTTGAATAATAATAATTTATTAATTTCCATATTAATAACCATAGCAATAATAATTTAACAATAAACATGGGTCATTGCCCCCATACTCCGCCCTCGTAACCGAATCCTTCTGTTAATATAACAGGCAATGACCCCCATATAAATAACACATATACATATATATATAACATACGTATCAACATATTCCAACATACCAACTTAAAGTGCCAAACATAAATTAACCATGGCAGGGGTATACCCGGATACCCCTGCCCCACCAGATTCTGAGCCACCGACAGGACTCGGAACCTACCAACCACCAATGACCACAGTTTTACGTCTCCATGACGTTCATCCTAGGGAGCCTATTTCTTCTCCTTCAGCTCCCTATCCCGCCACAAGCTCAGACCTTGACTCCTTAAGCTGTCTGAGCTCCGCCACCCCGAAGAAAAAGAGCCTTAGTTATGCCATCCTGCCAGCCCAGGGTCAACAGATCCCAACCAACTGCCGAGAGATGGACTCCATCCGAGCGGTAGTACCCTGGCAAACCACCTTCCAACTCGCTGTGTCGAACTACCACACCCCCTAGCTTCCGCACGAAGCTTGCCATCAAGCTATTCACTTTCTTCCTACACCTGTCAATAGCCTCCGGGTCCCTAGCATGCCGCCACCGCTTCCTAGGGATAATCTCCGACCAGACCAACATCACCCCCGGAAGTAGGTCCCTTAAACTGTTAAGGTCCTGCTTCATCCACTTCACCAGCCGCCGCTGCGGAGTGAGGCCCAAGTCGTTGCCCCCCGCATGGAGCACCAGCAGGTCCGGCCGTTGCCCGCCTGCTACCATCCGGAACACCCTTCCGCAGACCTCCCCCCAACAAAAACCCCTGTACCCAAACCATTGCACTGCCAACTGGTCCCGATGAAAGCCCAGCTGGTGGCCCTGAGCTCGAGCTGCAGCCCTCCTTTCGGCCCAGAAGACAAATGAATGGCCCACGATCCATGCGACACGGCCTGGGGGAGAGAAGAAAACAGATCATAACAGCCCCTTATACACCCAGCCCCCGGGGATCCCCCCAAAGGCCCTTCACCATACTACTCCAAAAAACCCAAGCGCACATATGAACGGAACCGTACCGACTCCCATCTCCCAATCCGTTTCACTATGTCATCCCCCAGACCCAACCGAGCTGCCTCCGTAGCCGCCCCAATGCGAAAGGAGTGTGTACCAAAAGTATCCACCCTCAGTCCTAGCTTTCCCAGTCCAGACCGAAAAACCTTGGTGAACTGGAACCGGAAGAGGGAAGACCCGTCCGCGTGTACCAGCAGCGATCCTCCAACCCCCGGCCTCCGTGCCATGTACCCCGCCACTGCGGCCACTGGGCACAAAGCGGAGCCTGGCAGGGCCCGCAGCGTCACATCTCGGCCCTTGCCTAACCTGTCCGTCTTGGATTTTGCCAGGTGTACAACCACCTTCACTTCCAGCACTCGGACCCCTGACACCTGTACCCCCCCTGCCGCAGTCCTCGTGGCACTGACCAACTCCCCTACCCGAAAGGCTCCAAAGAAGGCCAACAGAAATGCCGCCTGAAACAACGATGCTTCGAACCTGTCGAAACATATAGTAGGCAATAAACCGACCAGGTCACTCAACACTCGCACCGATACTGGGCGCCGAGTGTCAGGCCGCCTGCGGCCCCGCCGGTACCCCTTCAGTGCCTGCCTTATGACAAAGGCCTTAGTAAGGTCCTCTTCCCCATGTCGCTTGAACCAAAAAGCCATTGCCGCCATGGACCTGTCAACCACCGCCGGGGATACCCCTTTCACCAGAAATTGACAGGTGTACCAGAGGAACGCATCCTTGAGCGATTCCCCCGCCGGCAGGCGGTCCAACCCTTCCCATGACCTTTCCCAGGAGTCCCAGACCTTACTGTAAGCGGCCCATGTGGCCGGCGCCAGCGAAGCCTTCACCAGTCCCCCAAGCAGGTCGCCCCGAGCCGCCAAATCTCGTCTGGGCAAGCCTGCCCCACTTCTTGGGCTTCCGGCGCCACCGTCCGGAATCGTGACCACTGAAAACGAGACAGGGCGTCAGCTACATCATTCATGAACCCAGGCACATGGCGTGCACGAAAAACAACATTTAGCGACATGCACAACAGAACAAAATGACGTAGTAACCTAACCACGGGTTTTGATGCCGCTGATTGGTTATTCACAGCGTGCACCACGGCCATATTGTCCGAGAAAAAGACCACCTTCCGGTCCCGCAGCCTATCCCCCCACAGGGCCAACGCGACGACCAGCGGGAACAGCTCCAAGAAAGCCAAGTTCCGCATGAGGGGGCTCATTCGCCACTCCCCCGGCCATTGCTCCGCACACCAACGTCCCCCAAAATAAGCCCCGAAGCCCACGCTACCAGACGCGTCAGTGAACAGCTCCAGTTCCGCAGCCGACACGCCCTCCTGTCTAAAAATCACCGTCCCGTTGAACTCCCGCAAAAAGGTCTCCCATACGGCCAAGTCGGCCCTCATGGCCGACGACACCCGAATGAAGTGACGCGGGGATCGCACCCCCGCCGTCGCTGCCGACAGGCTCCGGCTGAACACCCTACCCACTGGGATCACCCGGCATGCAAAATTCAGCATCCCGATCAACGACTGCAGCTGCCGCAATGTAACCTTACGGGCTTGAGCCGCCGCTGTCACCTCCTCCCTCAGCCGACGCAACTTTTCCAACGGCAGCCGACACTCCCCTTGCAACGTATCTATCTCCAGCCCCAGAAAACTAAGGCACGGAGCCGGCCCTTCTGTCTTGTCCGCCGCCAGAGGGACCCTGAAATGGCCAGCCACCCACTCGACCGTTCTCAGCAAGTGTAGGCAGGCGGGGGAGCCCGCCGGTCCCACGCAGAGAAAATCGTCCAGGTAGTGTACCACAGCCCCACTCCCCGCCTCAACCTTGACCACCCATTCAAGAAAGGTACTAAACTTCTCGAAGTAGGCGCAGGAGATAGCACAACCCATTGGAAGGCACAAATCCACAAAGTACTCCCCGTCGAAGAAACACCCCAGCAAGTGATGGCACGCTGGGTGGACCAGAAGCAGCCGAAACGCCGCTTCAATATCCACTTTAGCCAACAGTGCCCCGCACCCGGCCCTCCTTACCAGCTCGACCGCCCTGTCGAATGATGCGTAGGAGACCGAGCACAAGTCCTTGTCAATATCATCATTCACCGACTCTCCTTCCGGGTAGGAGAGGTGGTGAATTAGCCTGAATTTGCCCGGTTCCTTCTTGGGAACCACCCCGAGTGGGGAAACCCGCAGACCCTCCATTGGAGGAGCCGGGAACGGTCCTGCCATCCTCCCCAATTTGACTTCCTTGCCCAGTTTTTCCCGCACCACACCCGGGAACTCAGCCACCGATTTAAGGTTGCGCCGAACCCCAGTCCCCCCCCGGTTCCGGAAAGGGATAAAGAACCCCTGACCAAACCCCGCCCGGAGCGCCACGGCATCTGCCTTATTACTGTTGCGGCTTAGCCACGGCTCCATCGCGTCTAGCCTCACCGGGGTTAGGCCCCGGGGCAAGCGAAACTCCCCCTCCCCCCCCAGCCGCGGTAGGGACCCCAGTGTGCCCTGACTTCCCTTTCTTGAAGCACCGGTTGAGCCCATGCGCGCCTCCGCAGCCCGAACACTCGTGCTTAAAGCGACAGGCGTTTCCCCATTTGCACTGGCCCTCGTTAAAGAGCCAGCAGAAGCCCTTTTGCATGGCGGCCGACGAGGCGGACTGCCCCTTTGCGCCGGCCGTGGGCTGAAAGGGCTGCGCTTTCTGCGCCATCATCAGCTTCATCCAGAGAGGCAGGTCCATTTGATCCCACCGCATACCCGGATTAGCCGCCAAACGCTGCCGGAATTGCTCGTCATACCGCCACCATGCCAGTCCGCCATAGGTGCGATACGCCTCCCAAATGCCATCCAAATAACAAAACAGGGAGGAGCACAGGCCCGGCGATTTCTCGCCCAGAACACTGGCCAACACGCAAAACGCCCTCAGCCAGTTACCGAAAGACTTAGGAATCTTACGATACCGCTTCTTCTTCTCTTCCCCCTCCTTCTTCTCATCTTTTTTATCGTCCTCTTTGAGATCGATAAAATCTTCCAAAGGGAGAAGAGAAAAGATCTCGCAGAAGTAACCCTTCCAGATTTTTTCCTTCACCTCCTGTTTGAGGTGGACCCCCAGCGGACCCGCAAACGACACATATGCGTGTTGCCTGGCCGCATCAGGAACCACCCCCCCCGTCAACTCAGCCCGCTCGCTCGTCGCCTCCGCCCCGGTAACTGTCACTGCAGTGTCCCCACCTGAACTCTGTTCCGCGGAGGGAATCTCGCTCGGGCCCGCCACCCCGGCCCCCTGAGCCCAAACCTGACCCACACCGCCCTTTGTGGCACCCCCCGCTCCCAGTGAGTGGAGAAGTGCTTGAAGTGTATGAACCAATGCACTGGAGTGCAGAGAAGCAGAGGACTCACCGGCCAAGCCCCTCGATCCCGAAGCTCCTGGGGCTGCGTTGTGTACTGTCCCCTGACCAGGATGAGCGACATCCGTTAACGATCCTCCAACCGGGGAGCCAACCCGGTGCCCGGCCACATCAGAGGCGGAGCGGCTCCGAGATCTGTAACGAGGAGAAGAAGTCCTGGGCAGAGCATACTGGTCATGAGCAGCCCCCCCGTCCCGACCTTGAGAACGCCCGCTGGACACCAGAGCCTCCCGTCGCGCAACCACTCCTTTTCGCCCACCCAAGGCCCGATCGGCCCTGCCTCTGGGACTACGACTCCTCCTGTTCCTACCAGAGGCCCGCCCCCGTGTAACCAGCCTGGGGGCCATGACACTCTCCCCCCCTGAACTACTAGATGAGGACCTAACACGCCGAGCCCTTCCCTTAACCCCCCCAAACCCCCGGGCCCTAACCGGTGACGGGCTGCTATCACCAGAGCCCAACCCTGAACCCCCCCAGAACTACGCCCACCTAGCTGCTCACCAGCGCAGGGAAATCCCCACCCCCCACCCCGGCGGGCCCCCCGGCTAGAAGAACCCCCTCCCCTCGGTACCTCTAGACCGTCCCCAGACCCCGCACCCCTAACCTGCCCTGAACGCCCTACGCACCTCGACCTCCTGCCCCCACCCGATGGCAAACTTCCCCCTGCCGTACCCCCTGGCCCATCCACCCTCCCGGCTACAGGCCCTTGCTCCATGCTCACTACCCTGGAGCTACCCTGCGCACCCTCCCCCCTAGGCCTCTCTGAACCCTGTGCCCAGTCCTCCTGCACTGATTCGCGCCAAGGGGGTCCCGGCCGGAACCCCCTGCACTTGCCTGTTCCAGGGGCGGTCCGCGAGCTCCTCCCGCACCGGCCCCGCCAGTCCCCGTCTTGGGTGTATGAGACACCCTCCCGGGCTGCAATCCCGCGTCACCTCCGGTTCCAGGGGGCCGCCCGATGTCTTCCGCGGCCCCCGCTCCAGGCGCAGCCCTCCCCGAACTGGGAGCCGCACCGTCCGACTCCCGGGTAGCCTCCCGCCGGCTACCACTTCTCCGACGTCCCGGTAACGCGCCGGGAGGCGGAGCCTCAACCATGCAGCTACCGGGTCCTTTGCGGCCTGGTCCCGCCGCCGCCCGGCCACTGGAACCGTCTCCACCGGACTCCACGCCTGGGCTCAGCCGTCTCGGCGGCCTCCGAGCCCGCACAGGCCGACCTCCGCCGCCCTCAGGATCTGCAGCACCCGCCAGGGCCGGTCCAAGTTGCGCCCGCAGCCAGTCCACGCCACGTCCTTGAGCCGCCAACCGGATCCGCTCCAACAGCTCCTCCATGTTATCCCTCGACCCTGCAGAAGGAGAGAAAAGAAAGACCCCACCAAACCAAATCTGTGGACACAGGAGTGCACACAAACTCAGCAAGGTAGTAATTAAAAGTGAAGGATTTAAAATGGCTGCCTATTTAAATAGCCAAGCCTACTTACCCATAACTCCATACTTCCTTCCCTCCTCCTATGCCCGCCTCCTAACCCCTGTCAAGGCCTTTTTTCGCTTAGCTGCGCTTTGGCTACATGGGGCTACATTCAGTTTGGACAAAGTTCATCCATGCAATAATTTCGGGAAAAATGATTCAGACGAACCAAAGGGGCTGGAAAATGGGCCAATCAGTATACTGGAAAATATTTACATAATATAAGTGTGATGAATTCATTTTGTACACTTTTGGCACATTTCCACACCATTTTGGTTCAGAGAAGAAGTAACCTATAGATATTGTTCATCCAGGTTTTGTGATATGTCCATGTAGCAATTCAGAGTTATGGAGTTCGGACAACTCACAGATCAACCAAAATTTGGATGAATCGCACGGTTTGAAATTAATTCTCAAGTCTACTGCTGTCATGCCCCTCGGCTCGCGGCCACACTTGGTCGCACCCGATTGGTGCGACCACACTAAGGAATTACCTGTGCAGCAGCGAGCCAGGAGCCGTACCGTTGGGGCGTCCATCCCCTTCACACGCGGGATCCAAAATGGCGCCGACTGCAAAGTCGCGTCCATTTTAAGCCCTGCCTCCAAAAATGATGTGACCATGCGTGTGATGTCACAATGTCAACGTACACGCACATTCTGGGGTCAGAGGCCTTGCTCTGACCAATCACAGCCCAAGGAGGGTTATTTAAACCCCAGAATACCTTAGCTCATTGCACTGTCGTGGTTTCCGTTCCTGGTATCCGAGACTGCGTTTTCCTGATTTTATTGATATTCCTGGTTTTTGACTTCAGCTATTCCTGATTATTCTAATTTCTGGTTTCCCTGACTTGGCTTTCTTATCGATCTTGTGTATTTCCGGCTCCCTTGACTTCGGCTTTCCCTCGACTATTCTCTATTCAATGTATTAACCCGGCCATTCTAAGGATCGGTTTACCTTCTGTCTGCTTTTCTATTCTATGTAGATGTTACATAGTTCTGCGTGTTGGATCATATAGTTGTCGTGACAACTGCACACCTGTGCCTGTGGCCATGGAACTCTCCCTACGTGATCCATTCTCACGATTTTCCTTTCCACATGGCGACTATGCAAAGACGAGGATTTTCATGCGTTTTCAATTTCTGGGCATTGAAAATCCACAATCAGGGGCCCAATCAGAAGGCGGAACAATTTCTCTCTGTTTGAAGACTGTCACCCATGTACTTTTACAAGTTCCAATTGTTAATCTACTTTAACCGAACACGGTTTGATCATTCAATCGGTTATTACACACAATACAAATACCCAATACATAGTAACGGTAAAATATTCTGTATGATAAAAACAAAACACAACATATAGGCATTTTTTCCATAAAGTTCTTTTACATTAAATTGTATTTCTGTATAACTTCCCATGAAAGTGAAAATTACACGATGACATCCATCTGCAAGACGCAAAGCCATGCCAGGCCAATGATATGTTAATAGAGAGAACTGCTGCTCCATGCCCGGAACAGGCTCCACGCTGGTTTAACCACGCAGGGGGCAATGTATCACCCTCTATCTCCTGTCACACAGTTCCGCTCTAAATGAGTCTATACACAGACCCCAGGTTATTCTTGTCTAGCTGAATAATATATATATATATTTTTTTTTTCAACAGTCACGCAAAAGCTCATCATCTTTCTCTGCTCCTGAACATCCTCCAGCAATCCCTGCTCCAGGACTTACAAGACCAGCTCTGGGCAAGCAGTTAATTAGCTCAGAATGGAGGTCATCCCTGCGAGGTTCAGGAGCCTGACGAGGAGGGGCCGGCATGTCTTTGTGTTTGGTGGAAGACATGCTGCATGCCAGGGGAAAGAATAGAACACCTGTGATGCAGGATTTAGAGTAGAAAAGATCTAAAAGGCTCTGGATACAATTATCGTTCACAGCAGGCCAAGCAGACATTCAAATATCTGGGGCCACCGGGAGAAAACAAACAAACCATCAGCCGCTCCAGGTTTCAACAAAACAAATTTACGAGAAGTAAAAAATTTATACAAAAGAAATAAAAAAACAATCCAAAATATAAAAATGGGATTCCCATTGAAATTGGTACAGTTTCAGGATAAGCAACGCCGGGGTACTGAATAGATTACGTGGTTTTATTTTCCTCTTGACAACCAAATGGAAATATTTGCCTGTGAATTATAAGGGTCACATCCCAGGATCTCTGATATTTTGTTGGCTTACGCACCATAATTAACAAATATTTATTTTGTGAGGTGTGTAGAAAAAAAAAGGATTTAATAATAAAATGAATAAGAACTCTCCTGGAATAGATTGGCTTCATCTTGTCCCCTCTATCCTCCGCCAATCACTGGTATAAGAATAACATAACAAAAATTATTGTTTATAAGTTATTTTCAATGTTTTATGCAAATAATTTATGGTGTAAACTTTAGAGAAGCAACTGTTCCCTTTCAAAGGCTTTAAGACATGGATGTAAAATAACATTTATATCTTTTGAACACATTTAGTCATACATGAGAGTCGTTTTAAATGGAAACTATATACAAAAACAAAATCACTGTTAGAACTCAAGTGAAAACTTACCTGCATTAAATTATGCATTTATTCACTGGGGGTAAATCTAAAACCAGCTTGCAATATCTGTAGTTCTCTTGCCTGCTGACTTTGCAAGCCCTCCCCTTCTAACCCCGCCCAGACTTTTTGTGGCTGTCCAATCACAGACTTCCCAATGCAGCTCAATGAGAAGTCTTTGCAAGACAGGTGCTCTGGGCAATTGCTGCTGTCACAGCTCCCCCGGTAGGAGAGGGGTTGCTGCCGTATAGGACGTTCCCTTACCTAATGCAGAGGTAGCTACTGAGCGCTCCAAACTGCCAAACAGCAATCACACGAACCCGTTGGTCTCTAAAAACAGCAGAACAATCACACGAATCAGTCAGTCTCCCAAATAGTCGAACAAGCATAATCCATACGAATAATCCCCCCAATGACGAGACAAAGCTCCGTATTGAGGGTCAGCAGGAATCTGGTTTTAATGGGGCTACCTGCCCGGTATTTATGCAGGTCTTCCACCTGGTGAACACTCCCCTAGGGGACCAGATGGAAGACTGGGACACAAATGGTAAAATGACCAATCACAGGCATACAGGGTCAAAACACTCCCACAGTACATTACAATCTCTCCCCTCTATCCTGGAGACAATTGGGAAGTAATCCAATTATCTCCAAGGACAGAGGCAAAACTCAATGGTTACAATAAAACACTAAAATACAATAAAATACATAATGTTACATTTGTCACATAAAATATATATATGTAACCCATCCCCAGATAGCTGGGATCTGAGCGCACAAAAGTACCGAATAGCGCTCAGATCCTATGCACACAGTCCAATCAGGATGGCTATCTGGGGTATGGCTTATTCGTGGACACAATACCGAATACAGGGACGTTCGTGAGTTTTTACCAAAGGAGAAGGGAGGTCGGCAGCTTCAGCAGTGTTCGTGACAAATAGTGTCCGTTTTGAGTTGCATGAGTTTGGGCGCTGAAACCGCTGGCCGTTCGGGACTTTAAAATGGCTGCTGCCACGTGTTCGGCAAACGAACAAAGGCCACCTAGCATTCGTCAACTAAGCTGCAGTTAACC